GTCACAATTTGTACTTGTTAAAATTCTGTAAATCCTGTTTCCCACTGCAATAAGTACTTGAAAACACTACTCACGCTGCAGAATTAGGTGAAATGCTCTCTGCAAAATTGGTCAAATTACTGTTTAAATATTGCCGGTCTTAAATGGTCTTTATGTCCACGATCTGTGATATAACCCTATTAAAACCATACTTGATTGCATAATGATTGAAAGATGTCTTTTACTTACAAGTTGATACTCTTTAATCAAACACACCGTCCCCCTCTCAATATTTTTTAAATTACAATAGGTCTGGCATAAGATTGTGTGTACCACGTTCTCGTACATCTAGGTACAGGCACTTTTATTCCGAATTCTTTTTCTACTTTTAATAAGCAGGTAATTTGCCAATAATTGTGTTTATTTTTAACTTCTTTTTTGTGTGAAGTTTTTATTGGGACATATTTTTTGTTTATTAGTCTGTGCTCTGTATTTTTGTGTTTTTATTGTTTTCTAGGCCAAAAAAGGAAAGCAATTTTCAGAGTGTTACAAATTGGACGAATAAATAAATATATCTTACATATCTTATACTACTAGGCCTTGGTCTAGCCTAGTAGTAGTACCCAAGGCTAGCCTAGGCCTAGGTAAGCTAGGCCCGAGTCTAAGCTAGCTAGGCCTAGCTAGTTAGGGCCGGCCTAGGCCAATATCGGCCGCTACTGATAGCGGCCGCCCTCTACAACGGCCGCCAATGTGTGTATATGTATGGAGCGCCGATGACGCATTCACAATTAGTAATACAATACCGCTCGCAATTAATAATACAATACCTACCCGCTCGCTAAATACAAAGCTTTCGAGTCAACTCGGCCCGGCAGGTCAACTCGGCCCTTTTTTTCATTTTATATATAGGCCTACATACGGTATAAAATTACTTAAAAACTTAAAAAAATAACCATTGAAAGAAATTAATAAATTGAAGTCAAGTTAAGAATTGTAAATATCATAAAAATATAATTAAACCATTGCTCCAAACCAACCATAATTAAAACATCAAAACTTTCGATAGATCGAAGTTCTCCAATAAAGTATGGTATTCTTTTCTTATTACTATTATATATAAAGCTAGTTTGGATTTTATCTATTATATCATAATTTATATATATGCTATATATATTTAAATATGTATACATATATATAATTTATATAAGAATAGATTGAAAATTGGTTTCCTCCACTGAAGAATTTCTAAAGTTCATACGATATGATATTCGTTTCTTAATTCTGTATACTCAAATATGTACACAATTCATGCCATCGATTCAATACTAATATTGTTTCATTATTTATTATATAGGCCATATATATTATATGATGATATATATATATATAGGCTACATATACTTAAATATGTATACATATATAATTTATATAAGAATAGGTCGAAAATTGGTTTCCTCCACTGAAGAATTTCTAAAGTTCATACATATGATATTCGTTTCTTAATTCTGTATACTCAAATATGTACACAATTCATGCCATCGATTCAATTGTTTGTTGCTCAATTAAAAGCAACAATACTAATATTGTTTCATTATTTATTATATAGGCCATATATATTATATGATATATATATATATAGGCTACATATACTTAAATATGTATACATATATAATTTATATAAGAATAGGTCGAAAAGTGTTTCTAAAGTTCATACATATGATATTCGTTTTTTTATACTCAAATATGTACACGATTCATACCATCGATTCAATCGTTTGTTACTCAATAAAAAGCAACAATACTAAGCCTGTCCGTCCATAGTTGTAGGGTTAAAAATTTACCGTTACCACGGAGACGTTAATTGATATCTTTTGTCTTATCTGATGAAGCAAGCATGTTCATTGTC